TACCACTCACATATAACTGAGCCTCAACTGCATTGCCATCATAAGATCTTAAATCTGGAAGGGCCTTAAAGGTGACCCCTGCCTACCTAAGTAAAAGGTTTTTTGAGGGTCGAAACAATAGAAAAATTGCATATTCATAAAAATTCTGAGCAATTTATTATTTTTTTTGTATTACCACACAATGGCTGATGGTTACTCAGAAAAAGATTTTACCTCGTAAGAAAAAGTATTCCTGGCCATTGTTTTACAGTATGAGAACTGATGGTGAGGCCAAATCACAGACCCTGTTTGCAACACACATACTGAAAACAACAAGAAGGCAAGTAAGAAATGAAAGCATAAAGCTAGAATTTCTGACAGTTTTCCATTTGGAGGCAGATATGGTTGATTTTTGGTTTGGGAATGGAATGGTTTTGTATTTATTATGTTTTGATGCTGTTTTATGGGCTATTATTGGAGGGAGGGGGCTTTAAGACAAGTTCTTACTAGGTAGCCCAGGCTGGCAGCAAACTTTCGATCCTCTTGTCTCAGCCTTCTGAGTGCTGGGATTATAGATGTATGCCACCAGTCTTGGCTATTTTTGTTGGTTTTTAGTCAATATATCTGGGTTTCATACTTTCAGAACACAGGCCCTAATCATACTCACAGGTACATTCAGACCTATGAGCCTGTTCAGATTTTTATATTAATGGACCTGCCTCTGCCTCATGCTCCTAGAGAACAGGCCTATGTCAATGTGGTTACCAATGCACAGGTGATGTTCTCATACCATCTTGGGACCTAATTCCTAAAGTCACTATGGTGATTAAACAATTCTATTTCATTTTCAAGAACTGCATTTTACCCTGTGCCTGCCCTTATAGATGTCTCGTCCTTCCACGGCTCCCTTGACCTTACTCCATAAGGAAATATGGAGGCTCTGAGGTCAGATTGGCCTGTATTTGATTCCTTACTTACCTCTCACTAGTTATGTTATCTCCATGTGTCACAGCTTTTCTGAATCTCAAATGCCTTCACATCTGTCACATGGGACTGAAAATGCAGAAACCTGCCCAGAGGTGGTAAGGACAGTGGTAGGTGCTATAGCTGACATTAGCCTGACACCTTAGGCCCTTGCCATCCCCAACTGGAGTGCTGCCTTAGACCTGCCAGGTCTCTCTCTTCCAGCCTCTCTCCATCCAGTGTCCTGCACTTTGAATCAGAATTTTAGTATTAGAAGGGACTGGATACAACTTAACAGTCCAAAGCACTACATTCATCATGTCACCTGCTCAATCTCAAACCTTCCAAGGGCTCCTCTGCCTATGGGACCCATGGAGAAGCCCTAGGGTCAGCTATTGGAACTCATCCTGCTCAGAGTCCCTGCTTTTCATCATCTGTGTCTTCCTCATTTCATCTCTCTCTCCTCCTTTCATCCCTCCACCTCTCTCTTTCTTTCCATGACCCTCACTCTCCTCACCATGCAGTCCTGGCTGACCCATGAGCACATTCATGTCAAGTTCATCTCCTTCTAAGGTGTTCTTTCCCACTCAGAATCAGTCATTTGACGGATGTGTAAGACCACCTACCACCTTAAGGAACTTTCTAGAAGTACTGGGAATGCACCTGACATTCTTGCTCCCAGAGAAGATGGGGCTTGGAGAAGAGCTTTCAATGACACAAAGACACCACCTTTGGAGAAAATTTCCTTCCTTTTTGATTTTGTTTTCTGCAGTAAACCATGCCTGAAATTGGGGAGGGTTTTGAGAGCGGCAGGTAAGACATTCCTTCCCTGGTTGACAAATCCTCCTGCCTATGCTGGTGGGGTATCTGCCCTATTCTCCCACTTCCTGCATCATTTCTCACTGGAAAGACAGAGCTGGGCAGAGCTGCAGCAGGGAAGACTGCACTTCTGCATTGCGGCTCTGGGCTGTGCGAGACAAAGAGAGAGATTGCCACCTATTGACAGATGTGTCACCTGCAAAGAGAATGGTTGTATAACTAGTGGCTCCCCAATCTGTTCTCTGCAAATAAGTCACCAGGGGTTATTAGCCCTTTGCTTCTTCCACCCCATCAGTCCTGCTCTCAATATTACCATTTCATGGTGAGTGAGGATGAGGAAGAATGGGGACGTAGCAGCCCAAGTTGGCAATAATAGCAGCTCAGTGGAAAAATGGAAAAATAAGTTGCCCACTGCAGTCATATCCTTTGTGTGGCAGGCACTGTTGCATGCAGTCATTTAGTCCTCACAACAACCCTCTCAGGATCAGCATCTATATTTTACACAAGAAGAAACTGAGGTTTAAACATTACCTTGCCCACAACCATGGCAAGTAAGAAACATGGGTGAATTCAAGTCTAAATGTCTAATGCCCTCAGCACTTTCTTCTTTATTATGTAGTTCAATTCACATCTCCATTGTAGTTTCCTTAAACTTAAGTCATCTGGATATGAAAATAAATATAAAAGGACTGTTTCCCTTTGGTTGGGTGGAATCCTGGCTCTGTCTCAAAGGTATAAGTTCCCTCATCTGTAAAATTGGGATGGTAATGATGTTGAACTTAGGGAGTTACTGCAGAGCATAAATAACCTAATATGTAATAGATTACTTAGCAGGAAGGCAAGTATCTATAAACAAGAACTTAGTTACCTTGGTCTAAAGATGTGAGTTTGAATCCAAGCTTCTCTCATTTTTAGCTTTGGAACCTTGAGCAAATTACTTGACCTTTCTGGTCTTCCAGTTCCTCTGTATAAAAGTGGGACTAATAATAAAATACATGTTCTTGCAGGCTTATCCACGTACTAAGATGAGATCGTGTGTATAGAGCTCATCGTTTATCTCCTCTCACTGCAAATCTTAATTGTAATATTCAAATATTAGCTGTTATAAGTTAAGTAAAAGGTACCTTTCTGGAAATGGATTTTTGAGGATTATTTCTGAAAAATGACTTGGATTGAATTTAACCTAAAAGGAGTAGCTTTTATTTTTAATTATTTTTAAAGCATGCTCTCTAAAAAAAGCCGTAACAGAGAAAAGGAGGATCTGTAAATGCCACAGGCTGTTCTGCAGGCAGCCCTATAAGGTGGTCCTGTACGTCCCTCTTGTCGTGGTCAATTTGCTTTACAATTACGATGCGCTTCCAAATACATTTTCACAGGGCTGGGTTGTTATTTACTCCTATTTTACAGATAAGGAATCGTGAATTAAACGGATTTAGGAGCACACAGCTGGCTAGGGACGTTTTGTCGGTGTGTGCCTGTGGAGCTGCTACTCGTATGTCCTTGTGTGCAGGCATGTGTCCAAGCACCCTTTTGTGTGCGTTTGTGTGTGTGGAGCTCATGTGACACAGCCACAGGGTTAAAATGTCCCCCGGAGAGAGGGAAGGTTATCCTATCTGAAATTTTCTACGCTGATCAACATTAGCCTTTTTTTAGACTTTCCAGTGTTACTTTCCATTCCCAGGCAGAGTTCTCTTCTGCCTAGAGAATATGCTTGATTTTATCTGCACAACGTTTAGGAGACAACAGTCTCCAGTCCCCCTGCTTTCTGGGAATTACTTCCTCTCTTCTTCCCCGCCTGCCAGTTTTATTGAATTCTCCTTAGCAACATCCAAAAAAGAATTGGTTTAGCAACAGCATGGGAACCAATGAAATGTGAGCATGCAAATAACTTCTAGACCAATGGGAGCCCTGCATAGCTGGCAAGCCAGTATATGGGAGAAAAGAATAACCTGGAGTTTGCAAAGCAGCCTCCAGGTGGCAGCAGACTGGCTGTATTAGACCGAAGGCCTCAACTCTCAAGCTCTACTTTGTTTGGTTTTTTGTTTGGTTTTTGTTTTTTTGTGGTTTTTTTTTTAACTTATTCTTGGATATTAAACATTACCAGGTATAAGAATTTTATTTTATAGCCTTGTGGATGTGAGTTGTCTGCTTGACATGTAGACATGGGCCTGGAGCATAGACTCTTTTGCCTTTGCTACAGTCACTCCCATGACCCTAGCATGGCTCCCGCCATCTTGGTTGGTTTGCCAGGGCCAATGCCAGCCCAGTGAGTTTAGGCACGGAGGCCTTTGGTGACTGTGCTTGCCCAACCAGTCAGGGAGAGAGGCTGGGGAAATTGCATTCTCCTTTTTTAATGCACCACTACTGGGAGGCTAAGTAATGGATGAGGTCAGGGTGTCCTTCTGCCACTAAGTGGGAGCTAAGGATGCCACCAAAGATGAGGGCTTGTCAATACCCATTTTCAGGTCTAGAATGAGACTGTTCCCTTCCCTGTCAGTTCTGCTGCACATATCTGAACAGGAATCCTGACCAGCAAGTGGCTTAAGCTCTTTGAGTAGCTTGACCCTTGTAATCCTGAAGCCAGAGCTCACATGGATGGGGTCTGAATACTGAATGATAGCAAGTCCGTGTTTCATGATTTAGCCATACTTCTCCCACCTCCTGAGATGCTTTGAACACCTCGAAGTAAGGTTTTGGTCCTTGAAATGTTATATTTCTCTCCAGTGTTTTTATCCCTGCCTGGCTTAATCTTTTCTTCTTTGAAGAATCGTTAAGGTATGAAATCTTCAGAAAGTCTCATTTGATTCTCACACTTCTCCCTCTCCAGCTCCTGGGAGCTCTTGCTGTGCTTACATATGTTTTCTAAATGTCTCTTTCCTTAAGAATCATGTAGCTTCTTGAGGTCAAAGTCTGTCCTTTATATCCCCAGTCCTTAGTACAGTGTTGGCATATACTAGGTGCTTAATAAACAGTTTTTAAAAGAAAGGTAGCTGCAAAAAGGCACTATTGCTCTGGGAGAAGCAACCTAGGGACTCACAGGCACCTGAACCTGGGGCAGAGCAGTGACTGGGAGTATGGTACTGGCTATTTGGGATGAACTTTAGCTGATGAAAACCCTTTGACACCGTCAGCTGTGACTCCAGACCAAAGTCCAAGCCGGAAGGATCATCAGCACCACAGGATCATCCCATGATGGATTCACCTCAGTGACACGGCCTCCTTTTTGATTTGTATTTTAGGAAGAACTAAGGAGCAAATCCAAGATCTGTGCCAATGTATTTTGTGGAGCCGGCCGAGAATGTGCAGTAACAGAGAAGGGAGAGCCTACCTGTCTCTGCATTGAGGTAGGTCCTGATGTCTGGAGCCAGAGGACAGTGGTAATGGCAGTACCAGTGTTTCGTTGTGTTTATAAAAGTACACCTTGTCTATCTCAAAGATGTGGAGCCTTTTTCCCCTGGGATTAAAAAATCAGATGCTTGATTTTTAGATGCAGGGATTTTTTTCTTTTATAAAAATTATTTGCCTGGGGATGTAGCTCAGAAGGAGAGCAGTTGCCTCACGTGACCAAGGCCCTGGGTTGGATCCCCAGCACTGGGGGGACTGAGCGGGGAGAAAGAAAGGAAAAAAATAGCTGTATAAGATTTTTAATTAAAAAAATAACAATGGCATGGTCTGGGAATGTAGCTCAATGGTGACGTGCTGGCTTCAATCCTCAGTACCACAAAAAGAAAAATTAACAATTGCTTTACGTAAGTCAAATAGTATAGATACTTGTACAGACATAAAATTAATAATCTTTTCCCTTAACCTTCCAATCTTCTCTTTCTTGTTTGGCCCTTTTATTGATATGAGCTGAACTTGCTTCCCCTTTCTTCTTTTCCTCCTTTAAAAACTATAAAAGACTAAAGAAACTGATCTTGGCACTTAAAATAACCAAAGTCTAATCTAGTTGCCAAATGAACTTTATTCCATATTCTTTTCCATAATGATTTCCTGTAGTCTTTCACCACAACCCCCAGCCTTGTAATAGGGGTTGTGAAATTAGAAGGAAAGCAAAATGGCTCCCAAATGCTATACAAAGCAAGAAATCCTTAGAAGTTAGGCTCTGAAAGAACTGGAGTGTGTGCACGTGCGTACGTGTGTGTACACATGAGTCTCTACATTCCTGGCTCTCAGCTCTGGCTGTTTTGTGTCATGCTATGTTGGAATTTTATGGGATCTTAGCTCATCCAAAGACATTGATTGACTCTTTCCAAAGTAACAAAGATCCAAATCCCTGGCTTCTAATGAAATGCCCTTTCTGCTAATTTAATATATTGAAGGATGTGTCTTAGGCCATTTGTGCTGCCATAATACAATACCCGAGCTGGATAGTTTACAAATAATACAAATGTAATTCTCATAGTTTTGGAGGCTGAGAAGTGAAAGATCAAGGCACAAGTAGGTTTGCTGTCTGACCAGGGCCTGATCTCTACTTCCAAGATGGCACCTTGAACACTGGATTCTTACATGGCAAAAGGCCAAGTGCTGTGTAAAACCTCCCTAGAAAGGTCTTCATTCCATTCACTAGGAAGGAGCCCTCATGACCTATTCACCTTCTAAAAGTCTCATTTCTTATTAATACTATTGCATTGAGAGATTACGTCTCAATGTGAATTTTGGAGGGGATACAAACATTTAAGCCATAGTAGGGTTTCTTTACTGAATAGATGACCCTGGACCAGGATGGAGAGAGGGCCACAGGGAACTGGGAGGCAATGGAGTGTGAGACAGAGTTGCTGATAGCCAGAGCTGAGGTTCCCTGTGCCCTGGTGGCATTCAGGCTCCATCTCTGCTAATGGCGAGTCCTCTCATAAAATGGCTGTGTGTGTGTGTGTGTGTGTGTGTGTGTACAAGTGTGCGTTGGTACCCATAGCTGCACAAACATCCTCCCATGGGTCTCTTTCAGCAATGCAAACCTCACAAGAGACCGGTGTGTGGCAGTAACGGTAAGACCTACCTCAACCACTGTGAGCTTCATCGAGATGCGTGCCTCACTGGATCCAAAATCCAGGTGGATTATGATGGGCACTGCAAAGGTAAGGTGTGCTGTTGCCACTGCATGGCAGCTGCAGCCCTGGGGAGACAGGAAACAGCAGCATGGTCTAGCCAACTTTATGACCTTTCCACCATGATCACAGCCACCAAGAACAGTGGAGGCCACCCAAATGGTAGAGATTCATTCTCATAGCATTCAGGAGCCTGCTGTATTTTCCCTGCATGCCCAGGTTTTTGCCCTGGCTTTCCTGCATCAGATCCCCCAGGGGCTCCAGAGTTGTCTACAGATGGAGAGGTAGATAAGGTGACCACATCAAGAAAGTCCTTTAATAAATTTCATACCTTTTAAGAAAGTAGATGAATTTCTCTGTTCCCATGCTTTTTTTCCCAGGACCTCTCAGTCCCGGTGGTATTATGTTTCCGTTATTTTGCACTCAAGCCACTGTCATTAGAGTAAGAGAGAAGGAATCCCAAGCGTGCTGCTAATTAGCCCCTAGCCCTCTGCCAAGCCATAACCCTGCTCAGCCCCTCTCAGCCTTGATCTTCCCTAGAGAAACCAAAACCATTTCCCAGGTGTAGGTCTCCACTCCATTCCCTGTCCAGAATGATTCTCCATATGAAATCTCTAAATCCCAGGGAGTCCTTGACCCGACAGGAGGAAGTATGAGTCCATGCTTCCAATTCAGGTCCCCAAAATGTCAAACAAAGCAGGAAAGAGATTTCCCATCCTTGGGCCCTGGAAGAAGGAAAGGAAAAAAGGATTTAAGACAAAAGTGATAAGAAGTTTACAATCAGCCTCCTTTGCATGGAGCAGAAACTTTTTTTTTTTTAATTCACTTGCATTTTTCATTTCTTCCCTTTATCTTGCAGAGAAGAAATCTGTAAGTCCGTCTGCTAGCCCAGGTGAGTGCCTGTTTTTTTCTGCAGTGTGTGTGTGTTAGGTGGGAAATTCTTGTGGTAGAAATCTTGCATTCTATAATCCCTGCCAAGCTCACAAGATCTTCTGAGGGTCAGAATTTACAACAAGAACTGGTCACTCCTCAATTTGGCTCAAAACAAACTACAAAACTTTATTTATTGGTGCTTGCCAGTTAAAGCAGGTGGTTGGTTCTGAATGATGGCTATTTTCCTTTTTTTCTGAGTAGTGACTGTGTTGTAAGGACAGGAAACCCACTGAGTCTGTCCTTAAGCTCCTGTAAGACTTGCTCATGTCACAGACCCAGCAGAATCAGAAGGCTCAGCTCTTTTTGAAAGAGGACAATTGGAAATGCCAGTAAGACTTCTGTGGTTTTCTATGAATATGAGTTTAAATTTCATCACAATTTATAGTCACAAACTCTTTTAGCAGATACTTTCCTCAGATCATCACAATAACCTTGTGAGGTGAATCTCACTGTAATTGCCCTTCCAAATGAGGAAACTGAGGTTCAGAACATTTAGTGAGTTCCCCCAGATCACATAGCATGGGAGGGCCATATTCATTGCCCTGGTTCCATGTCCTGTTCCCATCCCAACATATGTTGTCTTCCAGGAATTCGTTTCTGCCAAGGCTTTCTGTACTCTGCTTCTCCACCCACCCAAATCTCATTCCCACCTGCTGCTTCCACACATGGCTTGCAACAGCTGTCCAGAGCAGGGCTGTGACATGGCCTTTCCTTGGCCTTGTTTTCTGTTGCTTATAATAAAGATAATGCAAGTGTTGTAAAACTTTAAATGGAAGAATGTGTGCTAGAGAGTTTTTTTAAAAGTTTAGTTTCTCCCAGTTAGCATGAAAGCAGGACAATCAGAACTCAAGCAGCCTAAAGAGTTGCATTACTTCAGCTCATTGTGGAACCCAGGGAGCTGCGCTGGTAATTGATAGTTTTTCCCTTGACTTCCTCAAGTTAATGAAGATGTCCTATATTTTTCTGTTCCTCTTTTCCCCTCACCTAAGCAACAAAGACTCTCTGTTTCAATATTCTTTTTATAAATGTTTTAGAGACACAAGCTTGACCACTGGGTTAGGCCCTTCCCAGTTGTGATAATCCTGCTCCCACAGGTGCTGTGAAGATTGAATGGGATGATGCATGTGAAACTGTGGCACTGAGCCCCCAGAAACGTGGTGGGTGCTAGATGACACAGGGTGCTCCTCTTGCCAGACAGCTGACACCCCTCCCCTTCTCTACAGTTGTTTGCTATCAGGCCAACCGTGATGAGCTCCGGCGTCGCATCATCCAGTGGCTGGAAGCCGAGATCATTCCAGACGGCTGGTTCTCTAAAGGCAGCAACTACAGTGAGATCCTAGACAAGTATTTTAAGGTAATCCAAGTTAATGTCAAGACACTCAGTCCCAGAGAAAGGGACGCCTCTTTCTCCCATTGCCTTACCTAGAGAAAATGCACAGTTGCTTACAATTTGACCATCCTTGGACTGGATTTCAGGGATCCATAGGTTATTCAGGACCCAGACACCACTCTTGCCCATAATATTTAGTTGAAAAGTTCTAATTAGGACTAAGAGAGATGCTGCTCTTAAAAGGGAAAATGAGGGAGGAAAATAGTATTGGGCAATAGGTGTGGCCACCAGGCATAGAGATTGGTCAGAGAGCTTGAGAGTTGTTAGAAAAAGCAATTCAGGGTGCTCTTCCATCCAGCTTACTGACAAGAACAGACACACACACACACACACACACACACACACACACTCACACTCACATTCCAATATGCCAGACACACACGTTCAAGAGCCCACATTCCCACAGGAGCACTTTCACATAGATCTGTAGGTCAGATTCTGACTTAGAGTCTTGCTCCCAGAGCATTTGTCCCACGGCCTAACGAGCCAGGATTTGGGAGCAGCTGCAGACACCTGAGTGACTTCTTGGCAGCCTCGAGGCTGGCCACCCAGCCTCCAGTCTGGTCTGTGGCTTCTTCTGTCTCACTGGCATTATGGACCCTAGATCCGCAGAAATCTTGGGTTGGGTTAAAATGGGCATTTGATCATTTAAGACTACTCTCGTGTTAATTTTTTTAAATTGAAGTTTCTCTCTCTGGATTCCCAGGGTTTTTGTTTTTTAGTTTTGTTCATTTGTTTGTTTTTTGGCAGTACTGCGGTTTGAACTCAGGACTTGCTAGGTAGTACTCTACCACTTGAACCATACCTCTAGCCTTTTTTTTGCTTTTAGTTGTTTTTCAAATAGGGTCTCGTGCTTTTTGCCCCAGGCTGGTCTCAGACTATGATCCTCTTACCTACACCTCCCATGTAGGTGGGATGATAGGTGTACACCAACATACTTGACTTGTTTGTTGAAATCAGGTCTAACTTCTTGTCTAGCTGGTCTTAAACTTCAGTCCTCCTGATTGTTGCCTCCTGAGTAGCTGGAATTACAGGGATGAGCCACTGTGCCTAGCCCTGGATTCCCAGTTTTTGAGGTCACACTGGACGAGAAACACAGCCCTTGTCACTCTGCCCTGTGTCTTAACCACTCCCATGTGACAGAGCCCTTGTGTCAGCAGTGGCTCCTCTTCTCCGGGAAAAACACATTACTTTGCTGGGCAGGAGAGGTATACAGGAGCAAAAAGTAACTTAAAGAAAATGATTTTTTTTTTTCCAATGCTGAGTGGGTGATGTTTGCAGAGCCTGTTGTAAGCAGTGACTTTGCCCTATGATTACAGCATGGACCTATGGGGCCCAGGACATGCCTTCCAAGAGGCCATTTGGGACCTTGTAACCATTTTCAGTGGCCCTTTGGTGGCACCCTGCCTCGGGCATCTCCAACACCTGCTATTAAATTTGATTGCCACGTACCCGGGCTACACTGCCCCTCTCACATCTCCACATCCTCTTGCAGTAACACTCTTGCAGGCTCCCAGCAGAAAACCACACAGACCCTTGGGAAAATGGCTTTGCTCGAGGGTATCTCCCAGCTCAAGAAACTTGATCATGGTGATGAACACGACATTCTCCTTCCTAGACGCTGGCAGTGTCTTCCAGAAAGAAACTGGGGTTTTCCCTGTTTTTTGGTTTTTTTTTTTTTTTTAGTGGTACTGGGATTTGAACTCAGGGTCTCATGCTTTCTAGGCAGGTGCTCTACCACTTGAGCCACTCTAGCTTCCCTGACTTCTTGATGATGCTTAGAGGCCTGTGAGGCACTCTTCTAGGGGAGATTTCCTCCCTTACTAAAGCTGACTGTTGGTGAGCAGTCCACCATCTCAGACTGTTTCTGAGCCAGTGAATTGCTCTCCGGCCCAGCTGGGGTTCCTTATACCAGAAGTCAGAAAGCAAATCTAGTCAGCATTTGGATAAGGCCTAAATCTGCCTTTTACCTCCCCACTCATTCAGTCACAATTTCTTAGGTGAACCCGTAACAGTGAAGAAGGTCAGACCCTGGTAGGAAGAGCTTTGCTTGCCTATGTCATATACGTTTGTGACTCCAGGTAGTGGCTGGAACTGAAATGAGTGTCTTACTCCTGGTGTCACACACCTCATTACCTGAGCAGTTGCGTGTGAGTGAGCGCCTGGCTCACTACATCTCCGCTCAATACTATTCAGTCTTACAACGAGCCTTAAGCATGCATCCTGAAATATTCATCTTTCTGCCTTTCCACAACCCTGCAGTCACATAGAAGAAAAGTGTTGTCTCAAATATAGAGCTGGGAAATGCAGGCATCCATAGGCCCTAGGCCCTTGTAACTGGTTGGCTGAGTAGAGGCAGGGTGAATCATGTCTGATCTTAGTCCAAGATTGAGACCCCACAGACATTTCAAGCTGTTTCTGGGGCACATACCAGACTTTGTATGGGATAAGGCTGCAGACAGACTGGAATGTCCCTTGAGCTTCATGCCCACTGGCAGTACTGAAGTTTGAACTCAGGGCCTTGTGCTAGCCAGGGGCTGTACCATTTGAACCATGCCTCTAATCCAGCACTGCCTTTTGAGTGTTGACTCAAAAACTGTAGTAGACTATAGGTGGCAGGTTCAGAGTGACCACTTGGTCTCTTGGATAGTGAGTTTGTTGCCAATATGGGACTGTTCCTTTCCCTATACTCACTGTCATCAGACCCAGATGATACTGGGCTTACTGAGTATTGTTCCTGTCTACTCAACACATGCAACACTTGAACTCAAAAAAGTCCTTTGCTTCTAAGAATGCCCCCTACCCAAGTTTATTTAGTTTCTTTTCCTTAATTAATCAAGAACTCACAAAGTGAAGTATAGAGAAGTTTCTTCAGGGCGAATGTACAATAAATAGAGAAGACCTGAGACTTGTTCCTGGGAATCAGGACAAGAAAGGTGAATAGATGCTAAGCAAAGTCCTAATAGTTGTTTTACATATACACTTGTCCTTGTGTGTGCTATGGAAAGATTTACAACCTTGGAGTGGCACATGGAAGTCATGAAAGGAGAGTTGATACCTACATTTTCCCTTCTACCTGGAAACCTGGACAGGCTTTTCTTCCACATTCTGTGCACCATCTGAGGAGCCACCTTGAAAGTAATATAGGATGCTGCTCATTTCCCAAGGTAGCAGTGTGAAGTGGCCAAGGGTGGGGGAACATCATTGGAATGAGTTAGGAGAACAGCAGCATCCAACTTGCAGTTTGATTAGAGTCCTGAAACCCATACCTTCCTCCTCCCGCAACAAGGGCCTGGTTATTTTGAATGGCCCCAGATAGCTGAGGTATTGGTGTAGCATCTTGCCATTGAGGGAATAATGCCTGAACTCACTTCATTCACTCTTGCCTTCTGTTCCTGAAGGACAGCCTGATCAGAGTAGTCTGCAGTCCTGTGCACACATCAGCATTTGGGGTCAGTTTGAGAACATGGTGCAGTGGCTGTTGTGAGCCCAAGTGTGAAGCTGAGACTGTCTGCAGAGCAGTGTCAGGACAGGGCTATCGGGTGTTCTTAAGCACCTTGGGCTTCTGGGGCAGTTCTGGGCTCTGTCCAGGCTGATCTACCTAGCAGGGTATGGATCGAAAGGCCCCTGTGGCTTCTGTCCAGGCACTTTTACATGTCATCTTGAGGCACCAGTTCCTTTTCTGGGTACCCAGTGATTTGAGCCATTGTTGCTATAGCTCCTTGATGCTGGGTTGGAATATATCAAGCACGAGATGAAGTAAGGAGTCAATGATGGGACTTCCCTGACAGATCTTTTTATGCCCTTTCTAGAACTTTGATAATGGTGACTCTCGCCTGGACTCCAGCGAATTCCTGAAATTTGTGGAGCAGAATGAAACTGCCATCAACATCACCACCTATGCAGACCAGGAGAACAACAAGCTGCTCAGGTAAGGAGCGGGAGTTCAGGTGTTGGTCCAGCAGGAAAGGCTTCCTGTGAAAGGGGACTTGCATGCCTTCCCACTTCCTAAAAAGTCACTAGTACCACTGAGAACTAAAAAGAAAAACAGGAATCCTGTCCTCTTCTAGCCTATGAATATTATATACTGATATATTGAGCCACACTGATATCTGATCAAATAGTTACTGTATTAGGCCAGAACTCACAAAGAAAAAGGAATGTAATTTTCAAATAAATTATCAAGGTCACATCACAGCAAAGTTATTTCTAAGAGGTATGGGTGATGTTATATTGGTTAATTATCTGAAGGAATTACATTAATATATTATCTACCCATAGATCTAAAATACCTTCATTTCTGATTTTTAAGATAGCCAGTGCTGTTTCATGTAGATTGACCTAATTGTTAGAAAGATAATGACCTTCTCCTTTTGGTATTATCCTAGAATAAATATTAATAAAAATTAACTCCTAAGAAACTTGTGTGGTTTCAGAATATCAGTAAGAACTGAAAATAGGAAAAAATACCTCTCTTGTCTAAAAGAAGTACAGAACACAGCTTCTAGAAGGATTCTTCCTAATAACAGCCCATGAGCTTAACGTATAAGATCTGCAAATTCTTCATCTTATCATATCTTGAAATTAGATAATGCTTTACTGTTTGAATGGTTGACCATCATAAAATCCCAGGAAAGGAAGACATTTTGGCTTCCCTTTAAAGGTGAGAAAATGGGTTTAGAAAGATTGAAGAACTAGCTCAAAACCATTTGGGTAATAAGTGATTGAGCCAGGACTCAAATCCTAGCCAATTCAGGAAGTGAAGAACCTGAGGTTCTATAAAACTTTCCTGTAAGATCTCTTTCTAGAATGGTAATTCTTGCTTGAATTTCATATTCTTTCAAATCCCATATTCGTGTCATCTGTCATATCTTCTGTTTTGATTTTTCTGGTTCAATTGGCTTGACAATCACACTATGGGGAAAGATAATTGCTAGTAAAAGTGTGAGGGTAGTGAAAACATTTGTCAATGAAGGTGGACAAAGCCATTGATAAAACTTTAGTTATTTGGGGAGGTTACACTTGAACAGCTTGGGTGATCTAACATCACCCAAGCTAAAGGTTAGATGCTTACAGGAGTCAGAATGAATAATGGTTGTCATGGGTCAGTGTAGAGGGAATGTTTATCAATGAAGAGTCATCTTCTTGGCCTCTTGAGGCCCCAGATGTATGTGAGCCTGATGCTTACTTCCTTTCTTGGGAGGGAAGCTGGGGTGTTTCTCACATGTGTCTCCTATGTTTTGTTTCAGAGGACTCTGTGTTGATGCCCTTATTGAACTGTCTGATGAAAATGCTGACTGGAAACTCAGCTTCCAAGAGTTCCTCAAGTGCCTCAATCCATCTTTCAACCCTCCTGAAAAGAGTATGCCTAACCTAGAACTTGAGAGTTGTTGGGGATGGAGGCATTTTTGGGGCGGTCAAGATAAGAGAGGACTGTGGAGCTCTCCAGAGGTAGCTGAGAAAAATCCCTTTGTGCATTCTAGACTGGGCCCTGGCCCATCATCTGCATGGTGAGGTTAATGTCCCAAAGCCTTTATGTTGATGGGGGCACTTACTCAGACATGGTGCCTCTGAAGGGCAGGCCTTGGCCTGGCCTAGGTAAAGGGGCAGGTATGTAAACTGTACCAAAGACACCCTACCCTGTTCCACCCTCACCATCAAACTGCTGCCCCTATTTCCGGTTCAACAGAGTGTGCCCTGGAGGATGAAACATACGCAGATGGAGCCGAGACCGAGGTGGACTGTAACCGCTGTGTCTGTGCCTGTGGAAACTGGGTCTGCACAGCCATGACCTGTGATGGTGAGCTATGCCTCAGGCCAAAAGAGGGAGCAGTGTTGGGAATGAACTGAGAGAAGTTAGCATGGAGATAATGGGAAAGAGAGCAGTGGCTGGAAGAAATCTTTTTAAAAATAAGAAAATGAAGTTGAGATAGTTGGGACATGGGCAGGATGGTGAGATTCAGGTGTCAGAGAGAGTTTGGGGGACAGGGTAAAGGTTAAAGGTCCCTTCAAGGCCCTGGGCTGCAGTGATGCCACAGATAATAGGGACACACATTGAAGCTAAGTCCAAACAAAGAACTAGAGACTGGAGGCAAGGCAGAGAAGGGCATTGAAGCAAGATCTGGAATAGAGTCTCACTGGATTTGAGAAGAAAGGTCAGTTGCAACCAAAGTTATACCTGATGGGGGTAAACCTGAAGTTATATTTTAAGAAGTTAACTGAGGCAAGAAAAAGAGGGCTGATGCCTAGAATTATATTCAGGAAGATCAAGTAAGACAGTGATTAGAAGGTAGAAATTAAGGCTACTGGGAGAGAGTCTAGACAAGGAGCCCAGAGATCATCAACAGTATTAACAGAAGCCAGTACTATCCATGGGATCATTAGCCCACCACTGCTCAGAACCAAGTCTACTTCAGCAAACCAGGGCAGGAGGCCAACCTAAGTCTAAGGATAGGTGGAAGAGCTGAAAGAAAGCTACTTAGAGACAAGAAACTTCTAGAAGTTACTAGCAGTCAAGACCAATCCAGATCACAGTAGCTACTGAAGGCATCAAATAACATCTTAAAATAGTGGCCCAGCCTGCCTCAACCAGGAGGCTTTCTGTGCCTGTCTTTCCCAGACTCCCTTCCATACATCAGTTGCTCTTGTTCTGGTAGCCCTTCATTCCAAAATGTAGAAGTCAGTGTGCAGCTGGTTGACAGAACCATAAGTATGATTATCTAAATAATAAGCCCATCTCATGCATCGAATAAAATACAAATTATCACCCCATGGGACATTATCCATTTCCATAGCCACACACTTCCTTCCCAGGAAGACCCAGAGCTCTGTGTGAGTATAAAGAGCAATTCAGAGAGTGGTCCCTCAGAGGCCTCAGCATGTCTTAATATGTAGGCCATGGGTATAGGAGGAGGTTATATGGGTGGTATGCTGAGGCATTTTCTGGCTAGCAGCTGAAAGCTAGCAGTCAGGTCTTAGATCAAAAATGCTAACTGGACACCACTGCTCATGCTGGTAATCCTAGATACTGAGGAGGCAGAGATCAGGTGGATCATTGTTCAAGGCCAGCCTGGACAAAAAGTTAGCAAGACTTCATCTCAATCAGTAAAAGTTGGGTGTGGTGGTGTACACCTGTCATCCCAGCTACAAGAGAAGTAGAAGTAGAAAGATTGCAGTCCAGGCCAGCCAGACATAAATGCTAGACCCTATTCAAAAAATATCTAAAGTGTTAGATATAAAGTGTGAGGCTAAAGTGGTAAAGCACCTACATAGCAAGCATGAGGCCCTGAGTTCAATCCCAATGGGACAAACAAGCAGAGCATGGAAATAATGGAGCCAGAAGCAGCCAGGGTAAAGGGAAACTGCTGTGAGGGGCAGATGGATGCCATATGTCCAGTATTTACTAATGGGAAATTTGTGTTTGATAACCAGAGATTCCTGGGCACCACCCCAATCCAAATGAATTAGAATCTGCAAAAAGAACAGCTTGGGAAAATGTGTCCTTTTTGTTTGTTTGTTTGTCACTATGCAAGTTTGGAAAACATTGTAAGATGCAGTGATTATCAGCCCTGGCCATACAGAATCACCTAGAGAGCCTTACAAAACAAACTGTGGTACCCACATCAAGTAAATCACAATCTCTGAAGGTGAAAGCTAGATGGTTTTGAAATCTTATTTATTTATTCATTTATATATTTATCTTGAAGTGTTAAGACTGAAGCTGATGCTTGCACATGCTAAGCAAGCACTCTACCACTGAGCTGCACCCGGAGTCAGCAATTATGCTTTTAAATGTCTTCCAGGACATTTTGCGGGTGGTGGGTGAATGGTTGAGAATGGTGATGCCAGAAGAATTTCCTGAGTTAGGACCATTCTCATAGCTTTTCTGCTAAGTACCAGCCCATGGTATGGATATGCTGAGACATTAAAGGAGACACTAGGAACTGAGGCCAAAGAAGGGCTGGAATCGATAGCTTGCTTGCTGTGTGTTACTTTGGAGGTGTCAGTTGCTCACGGTGCTTCATACCTTCACACTCAGAGAAGTGTGGGTGATTCACCTCCACAGTTGCATGGGAGATGAACTGAGAACCTGAAGGCAGATCACGATAGATCCATCACCTGGTTACCACAGCCACCTGTGCTCTGAACTTCGGTTTTTCTTACAGGAAAGAATCAGAAAGAAGCCCAGACCCAGACAGAGGAGGAGATGACTAGCTATGTCCAGGAGCTCCAAAAGCACCAGGTGAGTGGCAGCTCTCGTGCTGGCTCAGGTAATGCTGCTGCCACCAGGTCTTTATACCACTCAGACTTTGTCCAAGAGACCAAAGAGACATACTTTGTCTAACACAGTAGATCCCAAATGATGTCAAACCCTGATGTAGACAGTTCTCTGATGGAGTCCTCCAACAGCGCAGGAGGCCTCAGCAGACATAGGTTATACCTTGGTGAATGGTTGTCTAAGTAAGAATCAGCCAGGTAGTGATATGCAAGTAAGCTGTTAGAGTTCCTATTGTCACCAGTGTGCAGTGCCTAGACCCAAAGACTTCTCCCTTGAGAGCAGGGTCTATAACTACTTGTCCTTGTACCCTCATATCCAGTCCAGGGCCTGGCACATAGTTGCCACTCAATGAGAATGAAATGAATGGAACTGGACCATAGCAGAAAAATTTAAGTTAATGCTCATGTGGGTAGAGAGTAGCCTATGACTGACAAAGATTCTCCTTTCTGGAGACTAAGAAGATAATAAATAAGAATTCTGTTCAGGCTCATTGTCATTAAGGTAAGGATCTCCTTGAGGAATGGGTTCTTAGCAGAATGGTGGTCCCCTGACAGGGTGTAGAAGTGTAGGATCTGACCCTGTCTTTTCACTGGCTTATCATGTAGTCTTAATGAGATATTGTGCCTTACATTTCCTGTTTATAGACCAGTAATAGTTCTGATGTAAAAGCTTTTAAGGTCTATAAGGATCGAAAGAGCTACTAAACTACTGAGATGAAATATTTGACACAGTCAAGAGAACTATTAATAGTAATCACTTACACTGATTAGACAGGCATGCTACCACTTGAGCCATGACCCCAGGATCACTTATATTTATCGGTTGTTCTTTCTGTGCAGTTTGTCATTATTGTCACCCATAGAATTCTTACGTCAGTGGTTTAAGCAGAAGCAGAAGCTTCTAGTCTTTTGCTTTTCCCTATTTCACCAGACTTAAATGTCCAAATGCGCTCAGCCCCATAAAAGGAGAAATTAAAACAACTTCATAAATTCCTTTCATCTAGGGTAAAGAGGTTACATGGAGTGATAGACAGTGGGGAGTGAATTCTAGCAGCTAACATTTTAAGTCTCTCTGTCTCGTGGGGTTCCCTCAGTGTCTAAGGGCAAGAAGTCAGACAATAAAGTGTGATTTCACTTCTATGACATGTCCAGAATAGGCAAAACCATGGAGTCAGAAAGTAGATTCGTGGTTGCCAGGGGCAGATGGAAAGGAGAATGAGGAGTGACTTCTAGTTTGTATGGTATAAAATGTTTTAGAATTAGATAGTGGGGATAGTTGACACCTTATGAAAATACTAAAACCACTGAATTGCATACTTTATTGGGGTGAGTTTTGTGGTACATTAATTAAAATTCAATTTGAAAAAATTAAATAGGAAACCCTACTGACAACAATGACTGATATCCAGCAGATGTGACTGGATCCCCAACCCCCAGCTGCCTTGCCCCAAATGTTTGGTGATCCTGGCTGGAATGCATTCTTACTACCAGCACCACCATTTCTGCCTCAGGGTTTTCTTTGGCTTTGGAAGTCCACGTGGCCCACATATGCTAGTGGACAGAGTCAGGAATTATTTCCTGGTGCAGCCCTCAGACAGTGGGAGGTTTTATAGAGATACCCCAGCTCCTTCACATCCTGGGCACAATGACTCTGTTCCTTGAGCTTCCCGGCAAAATTAAGTTCCACATGCCTACCGTGGTACCTGAAAACATGCTCTTTATTGCTTCTTTCCTGGACAAATTTCTCTAATCCTTTTCTGCTGCTTCCTGGGATTGTCTCCCGATAAACTATCTCTACTTGAGTCCTTGCCTCAGTGTCTAACCTTTACTCCATGTTTACCTTTTGAGGAACTGCCAGACTGTTTCCCAAAGTGACTGCACCATCGTACATCTTCACCAACACCACTCCATTTTCTTCCCATCCTTGCCAACATTTGTTATTTTTTTTTAATCTTAGCTGTTCTAGTGGGTATGAAGTGGCACCTCATTGGGTTTTCATGACTAGTGATGTGGAGCATCTTCATATGTCCTCATGGGCCATTTGTATACCTTCTCTGGAGGAATGGGCCAGCACTATTGTAAGAGCTGGTACTTCATTACCCTCATGTGGAAGTTGAAGACATTGAGGCATAGAAGGTTTTGCAATATGTCCAAGGTCACCAAGAAAGTAGCAAAGTCAAATTCAAGTTCAGTAGTTCTGTTCCTAGAACCTGTTGCTCTTAACACTTCTCTGGATTCAGAACATCTTATAGCACTTCCCTTTTCTTTATCCTTAAAATGGGGATAGTAATATCTCATCTGCTTGTTTCATAGGAGTTCAGATGAGGTCAGCTGGTAATTCAGTCCCTATCTGACCATGTCATAAATAGGACATGCTGCAAGTTGTTCAGCATCCAAGGAGGAGCCGGACAAGTAAATAAGTTAATATTCAGCATAAGCATGTATCCATCAATACTATATAAAGCCTGGAGAACTAGATAATTGCCAACAACTTTTAAAAATATTTCCATGATAATTATTTTTCTCTTACATCTCAAAGGAAACAGCTGAAAAGACCAAGAGGGTGAGCACCAAAGAGATCTAAGAAGAGGCAAGTAAGCACAGTGTCTGGAGCCTGACACCTTCTCTTCCACTTCAGTGTCAAGTCCAGTACATGAGTGTCTGCTACAATTGCCAGATCACAAATATTTGCTTGTATAGCAATGAATTTTATTTTGTTTATTTGTTTTGCAATAAAGGAAATGGGGGTGGCTGGTTAGGAGGGGAGGGTCATAACCTTGTTTCTAGGATTGCTTTAAGAGAAACTGTAAACAGTGCCCTGGGGCTGGAGGCAAGTAGGGACCCTGCATCCAGGTGGGCAGACCCAGATCTGCAACCTTTCTGAGACCACAGCATTCAGTGCCAGAGGGGACTGAGCAGACTCAGTCTCAGTCTTGAGAGGTGGGGATGCTCAGTGGAGAAGGCATGCCGCTTCTGGCCCTTGCCATTGCCTCTGACAGACCTCCCGCATCTCTGCTTCTCCTCTTGGTCCTAACCATCATCTCTAGATACACAGCCATCCTGTTAGTTACTATGTCCCTCAGACTTGGATGGAGTTTCTGGGAGGGTGTGCCCAAATGATGCAGATATTTACTTGTATACTTCCAGCCCCTTAGAGACCTAACCAAATTTTTAAAATAATTTTTACCAAAGGTGCTATTTCTCTGTAACACTTTTTTTTTGCAAGTTGACTTCATTCTGCAATTATCACTATATTATTGTTGTTGTTTTATAATATTTTCTTGTCTAGCTATTAAGCTTTTGTAATTATTTTTTCACTAGTCTTACCATTTCAGAAGTGGAAGGAGTTTGGGGTTCTTATTAGTGCAGGGACCTCTACAAGCCAGACACCCCCTAGACCCTGCCACATTCTAGACTAGTTGTAGCCCAAGGTTGGCACCCCCCCCCCCCGGCTTCCAGCAGGTCAACTATGTGCCAAGAGGGACAGGGCCTGACTCAGACAGAAGCCAGAGGAAGAAGCCTCCTCATAGAAGTCTCAAGATTCCAAAGGGTGGAGGCTTAGGATATCCCAGCCTACCAACATGCTTATTGGTCAATCACCAACTATCAGAATGTCTTTGACCCTGTCTTCTCCTATTTCTGGGCCTCAGTTTCCTCAGTGAGCCAATAGGAATCCATTAACCTTTGATTTGATGAATTGTAAATGTTGTGACTGTGATCATTGGTCCAGAGGGAGACAGGTTCTTGGAATTTTTCTGCATCTACTTAAGATAAGCAAAACCTTATTGTTTTAACAAGAAGAATTCAACAGTCAAAACCAAGACGACCAAGTTTGATCTCATTGTGTATGGCCCCTGTGGGTATTGTACTAGGATGTGAGACCTTCCTGGGAAAGCTTGCCCAGGAAGAATGGGAAGAAGAAACACCCACTTTCTCTTCGTCTGTTCAATCTCTTGTTGGAGTTCCTTTTAGAGATAGGGACAAAAGAAGGTTTTAGATTCAATAGTAAAAAGTAAAGATTTAATCAAAAAAAACTGAGCCTTGGGAAAAAATTGGTTTTTTGCACTCAGTCCTATGTCTTTTGGCCTCTGTTATTAAACCTCCTCCTTACCATGTTTCACTTGTATTTAGCATAACAAAAGTCAAAAACTTGAATATCTCACTTGTAAAAATCAGATTACAGACCCTCAGCAGGAAATTATTTAGCTTGTACTGCACAGACAACTGTGAAAAACTTGTGCCGGAAATGGAATTCCTTCTGAATGGTTTCTCTTTTTCTCATTTATAAGGAAAAAAATTCTACTTTGCTTAGGATTCCAAGCTTTTACTTATCATCCCATTAAAAAACCCTTTGAGCCCCACTTGTGCAGTCTGAAATGCAGCTCCCTGTCCAAGTGCCTTGGAGAACTCACAGAACCATGCCTTAATCAAAAGAAGTTTTGCTGGTTCTTGGACCCAATGGGAGAGGGCAGGAATGCCAATTTGTTTAAAGCAAGAAGCTACATTGTCTCTTCACTAGTCATACTTAGAGCAGTGGTTACCATCCAAGACTCTTCCCTATTCTGCAACACTAAATTCTCCAAAAGCAGGGCCACATTCCTCTTGAGTCTGCTACTTCTGTGCAAATAGGGCAGCTGTTGTCTGCACCAGAGAATCACGTGATCTGAGAACCATTCATGGAAAGCTGCTAATAGCCTAGTTTGGGGAGTCTTGCACAGAGCTTTGCATAAAGCAAACAGGCAGGATTAAATCAGGTTTGGTGCCTTCAGCCCACTAAAAGCATGTAGGGCATAGATTGCAAGCTTCCTGGGCTTTCTCCGTGTATGTGTGTGGTTTTATAAACATTGCAGTGTCTGTTAGATCCAGTGACCATGGAAACCCTCATGCCATGACTCTGGACTCTATCACTGTTTGGGGAAAGAAGAGCTCTTTCATGTTAATAAGCCCATGTAAACCAGTCTGAATGTCTTCCCTTTACACCTATGATTTAAATAGTCAAACTTTAGGGAACAATTTGAACAGGTTTCTGTTGCCAATGTGTTTGTGAAAATGTATTTGTATTTAGTATGCCTCCATATTGCATTTAACTTGTTTTTGTAATTCCTGATTTTTGTTACTATTGATAAATAAAGAAAATAAAATCATAGTTTCATTGGCTTCCTTTCCCCAATTAATGCCAAATAAAGTCATGAGCACATTAACCATTTACCTCATAATAGTGGGTTTAAGTTTCAGGAACCTTAAATGTGGCTGGAGAGTTTCTCCTAAAGAAATCTTGGGGAGCTGGAGGGAAAATTTACTGGGGTCAGTAGGACCAGTTTTTTTGAAAGGATCATAGATGGTGGGTCTGGGGAGGGGGTGGTGAGAAGTCTGAGAGTATCATGGTCCATTCAGGCTGCTATAACAAAATAGCTTAGACAGGATTGTTTATAAACTACTTATTACTCACAGTCTGGAGGCTGGAAAGTCTAAAGTCAAGGCACCAGCAGATTTGGTATCTGGTGAGGGCTTGCTTTCTGCTTCAGAGATGGTCCTCACATGGCAGAAGGGATGAACAAGCTCCCTTGGGCCTTTTTAATAAGAACCTAATCCCATTTATGATGGTGGGGTTCTCATGACCTAATTATCTTCCAAACTCCCTACCTCAATCTTTTTGCATTGCATATTAGATTTCAACTTATGAATTTGGGGGATGGGATGGGGGAGACAAACATTCAAACCGTAGCAAGTAGCATTCCTATATTGGGTAGAGGTTAAACTAAAATGACTCTGAAAGACACCATGGGTCTATGAGACTGAAATGGCAACCAATGAGGCTGACTACAAGTAAACCTATGTGAGAAACCAATAAACTTGGTGAGGTGACTCGGGGAATGTGAAATCATTGCCAAAAGTGAGTTGGAAAACCTTAATGACTTTACCTTGATACACATATCTCATTGGGATAAACATTTCTAAGTAGACTGAATACTTGTTGGTTAAGACTCTGTTCTGCTCCATCTTGGAGACATAAGCAATACTTGCTTCCCAATTTTCCATTTTTATAGATAATGCACTCCCCAATTCCACTAATTCTGTCTTCTACAAAGGTACATTATAGTTGGTAAGGCTTAAGCTTTCTTAAGTTCAGTCATATATGTAGAAGTCTTGCTTCACTAAAGTTATAGCCAAATCACCTTGTTTAGATTTGATAATCAAGTATTAAAAGATAATCTCATGGCTATATTATTGTTATATATTACTGATCTCATCCATCACACTTTGATTCTTTAAGTTTTCATTCTCAGAAGAAAATCCTAAACCCAGTTCGATGGATACCTTGTCCACAACCTCTTTTAAATTCTGACTAATTCTCCCAACTTTCCACCAGTCTCTGGAAACATTTTTCTACTGTTAGTGTGTAAGTTTAGGAAGTTAAAACTCATTGTGCTATATGAAGCACAACTGAGATGATAACTTTCATATCAAAATTTATTATTAGGAATAACTCAAATAAGTATAAATTGGTTTGATTAGTTTTAGAGCACCTGTGTCAAGTTCTCATCAGTCCTTGAATTATTTCTGAAATAAAACAAGATAAAGGAAAAATAGAATATGAATGAGTAGATAGATCTAAGCAGATTCTCTCAGAACCTTATCCAGCATGGATGTGGGATGTGAATACATCCATGGACTACTGATGCCAGGGTGTTTCGTGGTGTGATGCAGTAACCAAAATGTTACGGTCTAAATGGAGAGTCTTCCTGTCAATAAGAGTAATTTTTTCTAATTAACATTTTTAATTTTAAAAAGTAATATGTGTGTAAGGTAAGAAAGATCCCACATTGTATCAAAAATATAATAGATAAAATCATCCCCTTAGAGGGTGTGTGCACTTGTAACTGTGCTTATAGTTACCAGTTGGTTGCACCAATATACCTTCCCACCAAAAGTACATATACTAAGCATGTCCATTTCCTTACAGTTTTGCAAAAACTATGCCTTCAAACTCTGGCTAATGATAGAGGAAAAGTGGAATTTCTTGCTGTTTTATTTTGAACTTGTTGACTTTATTATCTCTTCTGTGAAATTAAGCATCTTTCCATGAACTATTGGTTACCATCTTTTTCTTTCTTTTCCTTTGCTCACTTTTCTGTTGCTTGTTGGCCTTTTACTTACTGGTTCTTTGTCATGAACTGTTTGTGTGTTATAAATGTGGCAATTACTTTTTCCCCCAGTTTATTTCCTCCTTTTGACTTTATTTATTGTATTCTTTGTTTTGTTGAAAACTTTACTACATAATATAACCCAATATATCTGTCTTTTCCTTTCTGTCTTTAAGAGAAAGCAGCTTTGAAATCTGTGCCATTGCTGAAGCCTAAGGCCAGAAAACAGCCAGAGCAGAACTCTAAAGTTCTAAAAAAGAACACAGAAAATGTCCACTCAAGGGGAGGACAGAATGTGACATGCAGTCATCATCAGAATTAGAATTTATCCACTAAATCTAAGGTTGCAATCAAGGGAATATTTTAATATTTGCCAGCTATACATCAGACAAAAGACTGATAGCCAGAATATACAGGGAGCTCAAAAAACTAAACTCCCCCAAAATCCATGAACAAATAAAGAAATAGGCAACTGAACTAAACAGAACTTTTTCAAAAGAAGAAATTCAAATGGCCAAAAGACACATGAAAAAATGCTCACCATCTCTGGCCATAAAGGAAATGCAAATCAAAACCACACTAAATTTCACCTCACCCCTGTTAGGATAGCTATTATCAAAACACCAACAACAACAAATATTGGAGAGGATGTGGGGGGAAAGGAACCCTCATACACTGCTGATTGGAATGCAAACTAGTACAACCACTCTGGAAAACAATATGGAGGCTACTTAAAAAAACTAAACATAGCCATATGATCCAGCAATCCCACTCCTAGGGATATACCCAAAGGAATATAACTCAGGTTACTCCAGAGGCACCTGCACACCCATGTTTATTGCAGCGCTATTCACAATAGTCAAGTTATGGAAACAACCAAGATGCCCCACCACTGATGAATGGATTAAGAAAATGTGGTATCTATACACAATGGAATTTTATGCAGCCATGAAGAAGAATGAAATCTTGTCATTCACAAGTAAATGGATGGAACTGGAGAACATCATCTTAAGTGAAGTTAGCCAGGCTCAGAGAACCAAAACTCCTATGTTCTCCCTCATATGCAGACTTTTGATCTAAAACAAATGCAGTAATATTATTAGACTTGGGTCACATGCTAAGGGGAGAACACATATAGGAGGAATAGGGAAAGGTAGGAAACCCAAAATTTGAAAGTGTTTGATGTCCCCACTGCAGAGGAGCTAAAACAGTAACCTTAAAACGACAGAGGTCAATATGGGAAGGTGACCAAGAAGTAGTGAAGAGGTCTGGGAGAAGTGAATCAATTCG